AAAATGCATGTGGGTACTCAAATGAAAGCTCTTAATGAGTGTAACATCGGGATGAGCTTATATCATTAAAAACGCCAATCGTTAAAGAAGTACAGTGCAATTTAACAAAAATCATTATTTAATAAAGCAAAATTTGATTTAATTATAGTTCACAAGTCACAACAGTCACATAGTGACTGCAAGGTTGCTAGTTATAAATATAAATAAATAATTAATTATAAATAACAAAATTAAATGAAGATAAAAATATAATTTATAATTATTTTTAGGTTTCATCAATGCTGTCTAGTTTGGCAACATCCTTCACTACCCTGGCTAGAGCTTTATCCCCGCTCGGCAGGCAAAGTAAGCGCATCCTTGGCCAGTAATTCAGCGGTATCAAACAATCAATTCATCAAAGACGCGCTTTTTTCCGAGTGGAGTGAAAGCTTCCGATCGCTGTTTCATCTGCTACGTGCAGGACAGTGTCCATATTTCTATGTCTGCGCCAACACATTCACGGTATTGTTTCGCGCTGCAGGAATTTGCGGTATCTCAGAGGTGCATGCACTATTGACACCCACAACTCGTGGATTCAGACAGTCACTCAAGCAGCAAGATATTGAGTACACAATGCCTCTGCGTACGACAGGAAAAAGACGTTCTGACCTAACTGATTCCGGGTATGACACTCTCGACTCAACAACTTCTAATGGAGAGGATGTTAATGATGAGGACAATGATGATGATGATGATGACGGTAGAGATAATATACTGGAGAGTTTGGGGATTGAGGCTTCAGAAATCAAAAGAATTAATAAATGTCAAAAGAGAATTACTATGGAGAAGGAAAGCGAAGTTGACGCTTCTAAACACTCGCTTATTTTCGTCAAAGGCGTTGAAGCACAAGCGCTGTTTAATTTTTTGATTAATTGTAAATCTGCTGTAGCTATTACCGGTGCTCTGGCTGGAGTACCACCTACACTGTTAGCTCCTGTGGCTTTTCATGGCGCGACGCTCAAGCCGTTAAAGGTAATTTGTTTGATAATTTATTAATGTTTTTATATTTTATTTTTAATTTATTTTGTATTATTGTATTAACATAAAAATAATTTTTATTTTGCAGGTCAGAGAAAGTGTTGTAAGAATTGAAAATGATAAATTTCATTCTTTGGAAATAAATGGACCAATTTTACCACACGTATTACCATCACTTTGCTTTCTTATGAAATCAAGTCAGCTAGAAAAATTTTCTGTTAGTTGTGCTCAATTAAATTCTACTAAATCATTTACTGATGCAAAACATGGATCAGGTAATTGAAGTTTTTTCAATTTAAAATAATTCTCAATTCCTACTTAATTTTTTTTAAATTAATTTATAAATTATTGGTAATAATTTTATCAAATTAAATTCTTTATGAACTCAAGAATTATTGAAGTACTTTTGATACTCTACTTGATTTGAATAATAATAATAATTATTATTATTAATATTTAACATTATTTTAAGATCGGTGATTTTACTAATTAAAGAGAATTTATCATTCTAAACTAGCTTTCCCGATTCGATTTGATGGTAGACTATCCAATTTTTTATTTATTAATTATTACACCATAATATTGTCGGTATAAGCACTCATACCATCCTCGGCTGAATATATAATAATTAAAAATTTTCGATTTTTAAGACAAATTTAATTAGAATTATGTAAAGATGATATTTTTTTACTCAGTGAAACTTTTTTCAGTAACCAAAAAAATAATTCGGAACACTCAGATCAGGACTGAGCGGTTGCTGAAAAAAGTTTCACTTAGTAAAAAAATAACATCTTTAGTAATTTTAATTAAATTTGTCTTAAAAATCGACAATTTTTAATTAATATACATTCACTCGAGTATGATATGAGTGCTCATACCGACAATATTGTGGTGTAATAATTAATAAATAAAAAATTGAATAGTCTACCATCAAATTGGATCGGAAAAGCTGGCTTAAAATAATAAATGCTCTTTAATAAATTATAATAATCATAACAAAGGTTAATTAATTAATATCTATTTTATTTTATAGAATCTTCAATAGAAGAGAAAGAAAATGAAAAGAACCCACCAAGTGTATTCGGTAAAGAAAATTTGAGTGATTGTGGCCTGACTGGAGAATTATTGTCGCACTTCTGCAACTCGGATCCTTCACGTATTAAAGTGGTGGAAAGTCTCAAATACTCGAGTGAAGGATACACTTGGACGTGATATAATTTATAATTATTAATTATTTCTACGCATAATCACATAAGTTTCAAAAAGTTTCGTGTAATATAGACGGACAAGACCGCGTACGCGGTAGCGACAATTTCGACGAACTACCCTGATAGCCAAACCGGTCGCAACTTTCCGTCGATTTGCTGCCGCAACTTGTCACCAAGTTGGCGGCAAGTCTTGGAAATGAACTCGGTTGTTCACCAAGTTGTCGACAAAAATTGTTTTCGAAACTCTTTCGCACCAAGTTGACGACAAGTTTCTCGAGAAATTTGGCGACATATTGCGGCAGTAGATTGGTCTTGTTTTTCTCAGAAACTTGTAGCCAATTTGACGCCAACAGTTTCAAATTCGGAAGTTGACCGCAAGTTGTCGGTAAGTTGGTGGCAACTATCTGACACCAACTTGGTTGGTCTGAAACTGTGGTTATCAGGGTACTTCCTCCGTTTACGAAGTAGGTACTACCGTTTTCTACAATTGCCGATGTAAGTAATTGTTCGACTCCGCCGACAAATGGTAGGCTATTATGTACTGAGTGATGTAAAATAAATTTTCTATTTATTCTGCGATCGATTCGAATGAGTCAGGAACTCAAAAATTTTTTTCTGAATGCTTAATTTAAACAAAAATCTTTTTTCTTTTCAATCGAGAGAAACTTTTAACAGTAATTTATTTTATTTATTAACCAATGTTCAATATTCAACATTTTTACTCCGATCTCTAAATTTTTTTCCAATTAATTAGTCAACAAAATCGTGTTCAAAATCAATATTATGCATTAAATAACTTCAATAGTCTAGTCATATCCAAAATTTCTACATTTTTTATGCTATGACGTAACAAAACATATTTTTCATCACTAATTTATTTATTTAATTTAAAAAATTACTGATCCGTGTTTGTAAATTTTTTTCGTAATTTGTCAAAAATAAAACAATTTTTTTTTTTTTTCCAAAAAATTCATTCGTTTTTATTTCATCAATAAAATATTATTAAACTTTCCTTGCAAAATAAAACAATTCAAATGATTATTGTTATCAAAATTACTCATAACTCGTAGTATTATTTAAGTAATTGAATTCAGAGTCAATAAAAAAAAAAATAAATAAATAAAATAACACTGACACAACGTCAGCGATGATGATATTGAATTTTCAGAAAGTTGAACCCGGGATATTATTGGTGGGGGACCATAGCGATGGGCTATCCCTAAAAATAACGAATCGATAGTGCTCCCTGGCCCCGTATCGGCTGGTTGGTAATTTTGAGGCGACTGATAAATTCAATGTACAAAAAAATTATTTATGAAAAAAAAAATCTAGTGATACTAGTATTTTAATAACAACACGTCTCTATATGAGCGATTGCGATAAAATTTACTCATTCTCATTATATTTCTCGTTATTTTTCTTTTAATTTCCCGTGGTATTTTTATCTCGTTGCGCTATTCCGCAAACCCAAGGCTACTTTTAATCATTACATTAGAAAACTAACTGAAATCTTGAGACTAACGAATAATATAATTTACTGGAAATTTGCCAGCTTGAATTGTGCAATTCAAGTGCAGTCACAGAGCGCAAGTTTCGCGATGATGATCATTGTAATGAAGTAAAACGAAGTGTACTTATTTTATATTTACGTGTCGTATACAGTACCAGCCCCGACTATTTAGCTTCTTTTTTTCACTTCTTTTTCGTGACTAGATAAATTTATCTTGCACGACAACCGAAATAGAAGTAGTTTACCCTTTTTTTTTATTTTATCCGAAATATTTTTATATTATTTTTCACTTTTACGGCGGTTAGTTTACTGAATATTTTTTTTTATCACAATTCCCAATAATTTAAAGAGGCACATAAATTTATTAACTCATAAAATAATAAATAAACCTTCAATTATAATTATCAAGATGAAAGTTCACTTTTTAATATTTTGTAAGTGGTTCCAATAAAAATAATTGGAGTGCCCCCAAGATCAGCTCGGCTATAAAGACATCTGTATCTAATCACATTACCTAGTCATTAAGATGGAAAAGAAAAAAAAAATAAATAAAATATCAATAGCACGTGTTGAGTGAGTGGGGTACAAAAATAGAATGCGTAGAACAAGTCATGTAAAATAGAGATAGAGTATAAAAATGTAAGCTTGGTATATATGGTATAATACGGCCTGTATACTATAAAGGAAGATCGATCGGAATGAGTGTCCGGGACCTACACATAGCGAGACACTTCAGGGAGTATCAGCCCTTGGTTTTCGCCGTCGACCAGGAGGGAACCCAGGACGGTAGATCGCTGGGGGTTGTTTCAGTCCACCTTTTTCTCTCTCTCTCTCTCGCTCATTTTCTCAGGACTCCCCGTCTCGTTTTCTCCATAACTATCTCCCTTTCGGTGGGATAAATATACAGATATATTAAGCATTCGAAATAGAAACGAAGGGAAAGCCAAGCCAGGCCGAAGAAGAGAAGAGAAGCAAGTAAAGCACGAGGGACACAACGAGGTATTGCGTTTGATACCACAGTACTCGTTTTCACTGCTGCTAGATATTCGGCCTGCTGTACGCTGTTTTAGTGTTATGTGCTGTAGTTGTCGCGAGAGTACGGAGCCGTAGTTTCAACGTAGTGATAGGGCGACGAGGGCGACCGTTCGTCCCCGTCGGGGAGCTGAACGCGAAAAAGGGGAATAAAAGACGACGAGGGAACAACGCTGGTGAATTACCACCACGTGGAGCAGAGGGAAAGAGTGAAGGAGAAAGAAAAACTCGAGCTAGTAGTATACGACGTCGACGACCGAAAGACTCTGATAGGCACAAAATTTAACCGAGAGCCGAGGGAGCTGATAAAAATATGCGTCAGCCTACACGCATTTGGCCTTCGATTTTTGTTCCCTCATTTTTTTTTCTTTTTTTTCACTATCACTGCCTTTTTCTGTGCGTATTACCGTATTATGAAATTTTTTTTTTTATTTCGGTGCATTATCAAGGAGCGTAAACCAATTAGCGTAAAATTCAATTAAAGCTCTTTATCATCCATGATATTGATTTACTACCTGCTGAACCTTTAACTCTGAGAGGAAAATTAATGTAATGATCAATGTAGTTATATGTATAAAGTACATGTAAATTGTATTATATTTTATTTCAATTCAAAATTATTAAAGATTAGTCTTTTTTAGGTCGTTGACCTTTTACACTAAATTGCAAAGTATATAATGTCCTTTCTTGATTAAAAGTGAATTTAATTAATTAAAACTAGCAACCTTGCAGTCACTATGTGACTACCGTGACTTTTGAATTATAAATAAATAAAATTTTGCTTCATTAAATAATGACTTTTGTTAAATTGCACTGTACTTTTTTAACGATTGACGTTTTTAAAGATATAAGCTCATCCCGACATTAAACTTTTCAAAACCTTTCATTTAAATACCCACATCAATTTTTCATATATTTATATATATTATATATTATTATATACATGTATATATGAAAAATATATCAAAAATGCATGTGGGTACTCAAATGAAAGCTCTTGATGAGTGTAACATCGGGATGAGCTTATATCTTTAAAAACGTCAATAGACCACAAGATACTAGGTCATTTCTTAATTGTGTATCTAGAGATAGAGCATTTTTAAATGCAGCCTAATAAATACTAATCATTATAAATTGACTATTGGTGAGAATGATATGAAATAATGAAAAGTAATGAAAAATGATATGAAATAATGAAATCCAAATTTAACGATAAAAACCCATTGTTTCATATAAATACACCGGTCACAAAATTTTGCTTATTCTCTTAATAATATAGATTAAATCAAAATAATTTTGTTGTTTAATAAATTTAAAAAAATTATAAAGCTCGCTCAACAAGCAGCCTTTAATTTTCATAACAAGGATATAATCTCGTGAAAAAATAATTATGAAGAAAAGAAAATGTTTAATAAATAAAAAAGAAACTCTTAATTAAAGCATTGATAAAAAATAAAATAAAATACTGCATAATATAAAACGAAATAAACAAGAGCCGGAAGTTATGACGTAGGTCAGCCGTCCCCCACATACATATGTACATCTATTCTTATGGTTAAATTCAACGTTATAGCTATAGTTATTATTTTATGCTGGTACATAGATTGTCTAGATGAAGCCAAAGCGTAGCAACAATGTACGGAGTAAGTAATATGTACAGAGAGTAATAATAAAAATGATAACAGCAATAGCAACATAATATAAGAAGCACACGAAGCATTAGTTTAGCTTGCAGGGTTCAAAAAGTGAGCCGCAGCGTAGTTCGAGCTCGAGTATAGAAGCAGCTAGCAGCAGCAGGCGAGGCCACGCGGAGACGTGGAGGGATACCGCCCCCCCGTGGGGCTCGGCTCGCTGCCTCTCCCTCGGCCCCCGACAGTCCCTAGTCGTCGTCCCCCTGCACTGATATCAGTCGCGACTCGGCGAGGGAGCACTACGTTGCGTGTGTGCCCCTCGTGCTTCAACACAGAACGTCTGGACAACTCAGATAGCTACATATTATCGCCGCTGCTGGTGCTTCACGTGCCCTGAAGAGTTTTGCCATTCGCTCTCAGTCACTCCATCGAATAATACGCCAATTATCAACAGAGAATTCAGATTAATCTTCTCTTTTTAAAAATTGGTGAGTTTTTTTTTATAAATTTTATCAATTTTTACGTAAAAAAAAAAAATAAATAAAATCAACAGATATTTTTTTTTAGGAGATAAAATTTGTTTGTAAACTAAAAGACGCATCTTGAGAAGAAATCCTTCAACTACACTGACGTCATCAAGGTTTAGGGTCTCCGAGGAACCAGTGTGTGTGTATATGTGTATTAAAAGTAGTCTAAACGCGAAGAGTGACGACATATATTAGGAATTTAAAGACAGGTAAGAATTAATATCTGATAAAAAAAAAATAAAAAATAAAGTGTTTGTGTTATTTTATATTATTTTAAATATTATTGGTATATTATAGACGATTGTAGCTATGGATATCGTATCGTGAGAGCGTGTGCCAACCGCGGTATTAATAGACGGCTTAGCTGTCCTCTTGTGCGCACTGTTTCGTCTAAAAGCCAAGGATGGGGCACTAAGATGATTTAGTCTGCTTTGCTTAAATCATTTCTCCTATCACATTGTCAAAATATACCTATACATCATATAAATATATGTGTTTTTATATTCATATATTTATTTCTACACATGTGTGCATCATATATAAATTGAGAAAGCGCGTCAATTAAAAATGATTAAACCTTGGATATTTATGATGGTGTATGGGCTGTATTGAGCTACATTTTACACATAACAGACTGTATATGTATATACACATACACATAACCACATGAGTAACCCACGTTAGTTTGAATTCACGGCTAATGTCAATAAACAAAAAGTCGTCTGTGCATCCATACTGTTTATGTTAGTAATATAATACTGGATATTAACGCGATGGCTAAATAAAATTTTTTAATTATCGTGACATACTTGTCGGTTAACTTGAGTAATATAATTATGAAGAAATTGTTTTATAACTTGGTATAGGTTATTTATGATGAACCGGAAAATTTTCATAAACACCACATTGACTTACTTTATATTTATAATTTTAAAATATTATTATTTTTGGTCCGCTAAAACGGTTCGGTTTAGATTCAAAGTTATATTATGTATGTATACTGAGTGTGCATACATCATTGCGGCTAATTATAGACACCAGGATACCCAATTTAAGCACTGTATAGTACAAAAGTATCGTGTAATGAACTATTACTACTACCACTGGCAATTATTGTACATAATCTTACAATATTATTACATAAATTATAAAGTAACACCGTCTGAAAACTCTGAAACTTAAACCGTCATCGTCATCACCTTCGTAATCATTCTAATTGCTATTCTCGTGTACCTGCTATCGATCAGTTTCTTTTCTCTCTATTGCTTTATTTTTTTTTTCTTTTTGTTCGCTTTCATTTAATCCTTGGACTCATTACACGACTTGAAAGACTCCACCCAGTCTTTAACAGTAAATCGCATCATTGAGACTGTTATTTTGTTTGTCGTCTTTTCCAACGAAGCTGATACGGATAGTAAAGTTTATAATACTTATACTTTAAAGTAAGGTACAAAATGTAAGATAAATATATAAAAGGAGTCATGAGACTGAAGTGGAGGAAGAAGAAGAAGAAGAAGAAATAGTATAAGAACAAGGTGGAAAAAAATATAGGGCGCTATGAAAAGTCTAGAGGATAGACGAAAGTCGGCTGAGTAAGAGGGCAACAACAAAATTATGGATCGGCTGGTGGATAGGTTGGTTTGCGCATGACCGCGTGGTAGTTGTCCTACGTAAACCCTCCTGGGTGGCTGCTGCAAATCTAAAGCCCAAGGTAGAGGTATGGTGGTAGATATTATGGATGTGAATGTGGTGGTTCTACCACGTATATAATTCCCCTTACAACTTCTATCCGTACCTTCACCCGCATCCCTGGGCCATGTCCTCTACACCCGCCCGGTCGGCCACCTACGACCCCATGAGTTTAGTTTACAAATAGAAACTCGAGCGTACAATGTTCTTCTTTATTATTAAATATTTTCAGACATTGACAGAACTTTGTAAGTGTAGCTTCTGTTCCACAATTCTAAGGCTATAAATTTAATTTATGATGTCTACGTTTGATTACTAATAGCTTCCATATTGCTTGGGTTCTTCAATTAAGAGCCAGCAGGAACTTATTTGATTAATAAATTAATTGATAGAATTGTTTGTTAATAGATTAACAAGAAGAAGAAGACGATAAAAAGAAGAAAAATGGCGGAAAAAACATTTAATTTGACTTGGAACAATCATTTAGCGAATCTCTCGGGGCTCTTTGAAGGTCTCTACAAGAGTGGATCCTTGACAGACACTACTCTAGCTTGTCAAGGTGGAATGCTACGTGCCCACAAGCTGGTTCTTGCAGCATGCAGTCCTTACTTCGAGAGAGTATTCAAGGAACACTACGGTGAACAGCCTATCCTCATACTCAAAGGTAATTAGTACTAGGCACTTGGAAATTATTAATTAGCGGTAAGCTATTGAATAACTAATACCAGAGAACTCTTCTGCTATCCGCCATGTAATTTATCAATAATTAACTAACATCCCAGGTGTCCCCGTCGAAGAAATGGAATGTCTACTGGATTTCATGTACCGCGGTTCGATAAATGTCGCCGAAGATCATCTTCCCTCGCTCATTAAAACCGCAACAGACTTGGAAATTCGTGGACTTTCTGGTGACAGAGGTGAAAGTAATAGCATGTTTTCACGCGTCGAAACCCGCTTGCAGTCTACTCATGACACTCGACACCACTCGTCAATGGACTATAGAAAATCACAAACCGGGTTCATCACGGGACAGAATTCCAATGACGCAGTTGGGGAAATTAAAACCGAAGAATTTGAGGTAGAGGATGATCCAATGGTGATGGAAAATTTGGATGATAGTTATGAGTCGATTCCAGTTTCTAAAGGCCAAATTGTAAGTTTTAAATATTTTTTATTAATTTAATTAATAAAATTATGACTGAGAAATTAATTTAATTATTTATTTACAGAAACATGTACCAGCGCCAATGTATAAACGTCACAATACACGTTACGATGGACAGAAACGCGTACCGGTTGGTCGAACAATTAGAGACAATGAATTATCGCGTCGTCAAGTAGATGGTACGTCATCAAGAAATTCACCAAATGAAGAAGCTTTTGACAATGGATCTGACAGTAATAAATTAGATCATAGTTTTAGCGGCAATGGAGATCCAACGGTACCAGCTATTCAAATGGATGATTCGATTGATCAATCACGAGTAATAATTGTTTTTATTTTTTTTTTCAATTGTTTTTTAAGGAGAAACACCACTGTGACGGTCGAAAAAAAAAAGGTGATTTTCGGGAATTTTTTTGACAGAGACAATAAAGGAATTTGGGGATCGAATTTTTTTTATTTTATTAAGGGTACATCAAAGATTATTACCCAAAATTTTTATTAAAAAATATTTAATTATTACCAAGTTGTTAACAATCTCGTAGAGCACTAGAAAAAATTTACCCCTTCATGATCGAATCGATAACTCAAAAACGGATCATCTAAGAATAAAAACCCAAATTACTTTTTAATCAGTAAGAATGTAGTTATCGTCGCACGTACGGAATTTTGAAAATTATAATTTCCAAAAAAATGGCGACTGATTGAAATTTTTCTCTCTATTCTCACTGTTTTTTTTTTTAACCCGGCTAAAAAAATTTTTGAAATTCCGTACGTGCGACGATAACTACATCCTTACTGATTAAAAAGCAATTTGGATTTTTATTTTCAAATGATCCGTTTTAAAGTTATCGAACCGACCATGGAGGGGGAAATTTTTTATAGTCCTCTACGAGATTGTTAATAACTATGTAATAATTAAATATTTTTTAATAAAAATTTAGGGTAATAATCTTTAATGTA